CAGAGGAAAATATGTTGGGTCATGGTGCTGTTGATTTGGTAATAGTTCAACAAATTAAAACTTGTTTTTCTTTTTTTTTATTATTATTAAAAAGACACATTAGTGCTCATACGAATGTAGCATCATAAAAAGTTTAAATCCTAAGAGCTAAGAGAAAAAAGGTAACCAGATGTCTTTTCTTGTATTTTGAAGATGCTTTGAAACTCACCCAATGAGCAAAAGTCCAGTTACTTTTTTTATAACTTCTAAAATCTGCGACACCCTAAATGATAGAGACTCTACGCCAGGGGTGCCCACACTTTTTCAGCATGCGAGCTACGTTTAAAATGACCAGGTCAAAGTGATCTACCTACTATAAGGCCCCGTTTACACGGAACAACCTCTGGAAACACTAGTGTTTTTTCAATGTTTATTGGAGATAATAAACAAAAAAAATGAGCAGGTTTACATGAAAACGCTGTAGTTTCCATGTCAGTCGGGTTGCCAGATAAGAATTTGTGAACTATAGTACTGTCTCTTTAAAATTAATGTATTTTGACCTAAACCCTAAATTTGACCTACATGTGCCGAGTAAAGATATTCTAAGATGAAGTGTGCGTTGTGTTTGTTGAACATGTGCACACAAAAGGAGGAGGTAAATTAAGACATTTTAAAGTTATCTGGCAACCCTGATGCCAGGCTCTGCTGCATTCATCGTGCATGCAGTGTCTGCATGACAGTTACGACCAAACTGGTGAATACACAAACCTCTTTGGAGCCTGGATTTTATTAGTTTTGCTCCTACATGCTGCCATTATTATAACTGTTGTTAGAGCAGAAAAACTTGTGCACATGTGCAACTTCACTTGCGGAGCATTTCACATCTCCGTGGGGGATTCCCCCATAATAAGGGCTAATGTCGTGTAAATGAACAGCCGAACGTTTTACGTCGTGTAAACGGGGCCTCAGACTGGCTGCCCTGTCTGTCAATCAAGTGACATTTTATAATGATGATCGGCTGACGTCCATTTTTTTTAATGCCATGCGATCTACCCATAATGCGTTTGCGACCTACCGGTAGATCACGATCGACGTATTGGGCACCTCTGCGTAGAGTCTACACCAACAAGAGCTGAAATTCTTTAAAATTGGTCAATCTTTCAAGAACACATATTTTCTTGTTTCCTCTGTATTTAAGGGAAACTAAATGACAAGAAGATCTGCATTGGCCATCAGTCAAATTTTTAACAAAAAAAACTTAATAACCTGTGAATCCTTGATGGCATCTCACCTCTTGTCAAGTACATCTAGATGTTTCCCTTCTTGCATGCGCTTGTATTTATTTACAGCATCTCAGTTTGGAACCGTCATAACTATCATTATCTTACCTTTTATTGGCAATTAAAAAAAACGATCCTCTGCATTAATCGAGTCAACAGATTTTTATACCCAATTCATTCTCGTGTTAATATTTCCTAAAAAAAATAAATTAAAAAAAAGATTTGCAGCCTTCAACTAAATTAGTCTGGCGTCAGTCATTTTCCTTCCTTCAGCTCCTTTTCTTTCATTCTCGCCTTTTCCTTCAGATTTGGATATCATCCTTCCTGTAATCCTTTTCTAAAATCTTCTGTACTCTGCAAAATGTTTAATCATCTTGCAAATGTCTTTTTAAACCATATAGCAATACCTTATTCCTTTTGCAACCAAAGAAACATTACAAATAAGTAGTTCTTCCCTTTCATTCTCCTGTTGTTGCTAATCTCTTCCACCTCCTCGTGATCCTTGAGGAAACATTAAATCACTTGTGAAGACTTCTTATTCATCCTTTGGTTCATTCCCTTCTTTTCAGAAGAAGCGTGTCGTCTTCTCTTTCACTCCCATTCATTCTCGCCTCCTCTTCATCCTTCAGCCTAACCCTTCACAAAATGTTCACTCACATCTCTTTTTTTTCATCCTTACATCCTTTCTGCTCCCAATTACACTTTAAATGCTCAATCATCTGAAAACTCCTATTTCTCATCTCCCCATGTGGTCATTCTTGCCGAAGCTTTTTATTTCTCTGTGGCACACTTTAATTTATTGAAATGTTTTCTTGTGAAAAGAACTTGAGCCATCAGTTGAATGCAGACTGGTTCATGCCAACATTATCATGACACCAGCAGTCAATGCTGGCAGGTACTCGGACACAGAGGTTTGTCTTCAAAAATAGATGGATTTGGGAATGAGATCCTCAAATAAGAAACAGCATGGCTTTACTTTCTTCTTCTGTAAAAACACAACATTGATCAACAATAAACGATTTAAAAAATTGCCCAAAATAACTTGTTGTTTATCTCGTTCTTAGTTTTTTCACTTTAAACTAAATAGGCATTTGGCAAAATTTGATAAGTACCAAATACTTGTAAATGTCAGTTTCCAAATGATACGTTAATTACTTTAAAAGTCTTAATAAATGCTAAGCTAGAAAATATTAAAAATATATATACACAGTAGTCCCTCGATACTTCGCGGTTTGCTTTTCGCAGACTCGCTGTCTCACGGTTTTTCAAAATAAGATTGGACATGACACACGATTGGATGATTGATGGATGAGCTGCACAATTGGCATGGAATACTTATTTTAAATTAATTATTTTAAGCAGCCCACACTGCAGGAGAAGCTTCCTCCTTAAGAAGTGGGCGTGGCCAAAAGCGCAGAGTGCAGACGTGGCAGAGAGCTGATTTCATGAGATGCTGTATTCTTTTAGAGCGTTTAGAGATTAGAAACATGGTTTAGAATATTGCAAGAATGTGGGAAGAGTTTAAAAAACCTTCTTAAAAAAAAAAAAAAAATATATATATATATATATATATATATATATATATATATATATATATATAAATATATATATATATATATATATATATACACACACACACACACACAAACTACTATTTACTACTTGTACTACAGTTCTTATTTTGCGTTTTTTCACTTATCGCGGGGCTTCAGGGTACGGATTCCCCGTGATAAACGAGGGACTACTGTTTATATTTTGTTTTTTTGTTTTGTACCTGCAACAACAATCAAATCTGACCTTGTCCAACTATGAGACTGAAATATCTCATTTTTTTATGATTGTGTTATTTACAGACATCATAGCCCCATGGTCTAGTTAGTTTACTGAGCTATTAAACAAATTGTATTAACAAAATCAGTTCAATTAGGCTTTGTATTCATTTTCAAGGCCCTCGAAGAACATGAAACTGCTGGAAGATGATGGTGATAATCAAGCTCTGTGTCCACAACATGGAAAATAACCCAAGTTGAGAATATGGGGAAAATCTATGGGCATCTAGCTATGTGCAGATTTGTATTCAAAGCATAAGAAACAGTCATTACAAGAAGCCTTTAGCATAAGGAGGCCCAGTCCTGCACAACTGGTCATTCTGCTCACAACATCCTTCCAGCAGGCTTCTATTAGAAGTAGGAGGATGTTGGAGTGGAGATAAGACGGGCACTACAGCGCGTCTCAACAGGGGGGGGGGGGGGGGTAGTGAACAGTGAGAGTCACATGAAACAGGCACCAACTGGTGTGTACAACAAGCTCTCCCCTTTCCATAACTATAATTCCAACCCTGCCCCACTCCTATCTGCAGCCCCAGGAAACTCTCAGGGTGCAATTTACTGCATGCACCGCGCTGATAATACTGTCTCCAGGGCAGGAAGGAGAGAGTGATGGACTGGGATAGAAAAGAGAAAAAGACAGAGAGAGATTGAAGGGGGGAGGTGGAAGAAAAAAGAAAGACAGAAAAGCAAAAAGCTGAGGGCGGGAGAACACAGTGAAGAGGAAGCGATAGAAAAGGAACAGGGACGTAACAGGTGAGGATAAGCGCGGGGCGACGCAGAGCGAGTATCGCCATGGAAATTACAAACGCAACCCCAAGACCCAATTAGTGTCAGTACAAAATACTTCAACGTGTGATTTAACAGGAGCAAAAACCCAGCAAAGTGAATCACGACTTGATTCTACAAAAACATATCTCCTCCAAGACAGAGACACTCAAGTTGATGAGTTTTCAACCAGCTACGTTCCTGAACTCTTGTAAAACTTAAGAAGACTTTTTGAAAAAATGACTATGACTTTGACTATTTGCAAATACTAAAACTGTTTAGTACCATTGTAAATAGAGAACAGCAGCTCCTCCCACAGGTCATTAGCGGTTATTCAAGAAGGATCACCATTCAAGGACAACCAGAATCACAGAAAAATCTCATTTCAGATCATATTGAGCCATCAAATATCAAATAAAAACCACGAGGCATGTTGGTTGTTTCTGTGTTGGCTGAAATTAGACAAAGTAACAGAAATTCCAGAACTGAGCATAACAAACATCGTCCTGTGGTCTTCCTGCAATTTGCTTTGCATCATTTTGAGCTTTTTTTTTTCCTCATGAGCTGATTTTCTGTAAGAACATTTCTAATCTATAAACATTTTTCGTTGCAGTTTCAGATGTTGTGTTACTTGCTGTAAATGACTTAGCATGTATGTCTAATACAGTATTCCTGTTATGATGGGAGAATTATTTACATAAGAATGCAGGTGATTACATTTTTTAATGCCCAAACAACGACGAGGACAAGACTGCAAAAATTTAACAAGAGCCGTTGTGAACAGGGGCTAGGTGCAAAATAAAAAATGTATTTCTTTCTTCATGACAGAATGAGAACTATGGCAAACAAAAATGAACATTTTAAGAAGAATGTAGGAATATTGGGAATGTAGTATGAACTACAGTTTCCCCCTACCATTATCCAAGGGGGGCGCCCTGCCCTGTCAACAGAACCGAGTGCCCCAAATACTAATACCATGCACTACCATACCTGCCAGTGTACATATGATGGGGCTGAAATTTGTCCTTGGAAAGCACAGTTCATCCAAAATCCCCATTTAACAAGGCATGTGAATTGTAAAGCATCAGAGCTTGAGAAAATAACATCTGATGCATGCAGGAGTGTGTGCATGTGTGTGTGTACGTACCAACTCTTTGGTCTTCTCAGCTTCCTGGCGAGCATGCTCTCTTTCTCGACTCATGGCTTTAGTTCTATCCTCCCTCGCCGTCTCCCTTTCTCTTTGTGCCATCTTGGCCAGCTCGTCCTTTAGTAATGTCTGCTGGTGTTCAAACCTTGAAAACACAAAGTATGAATTAAAAATATTAAATATATATATACTAGTTGGTATCAAGTTGTCCTTTCTACAGCCTTTTGATAACAACATGTGTCCACAAGGGGGCAATGTACTTAAAACTTGAGACTTGAAATCTCAAACATGTCCAGTGGGCACATATATTTCTTTGGATATCTCAGATTTTGTTCCAAAATGTAAAGTATTAAAACAAATTTTCCCTTGTTTGGTGTTAAATAGAACTGAAACCAACTTAAGTCATTGTCTCATTCACTGTATACAGACATCTTTTTACTTTTCTCCCAATCAAATCCCAGTCTAACAGATATTGGTTATATTTTATTATAGTCATAAATGAAGGTCTTAAGCTAAACGACTCCAACCAAAAATGCAATAAATAATTTGACCATTACTAAATCAATACACTTGCATTGTCTTGGAACGTACATATCTGGGGAACAGTTTTATTTGTTTTTTAATGATGTATCCACGCAGCAGAAACAACCACAGTCCTGATAAAATTAAACCTGCTATGGAATGATACAAGTGAGTCTACTGGTGCAATTTTGCTTCATATCTTTTCCTATCACATTTTTGCAAGTAGTCTCTGTAAAGGTCGTTTCATGCTCTATCCGTAGCAGAGAAATGAGCTCTCATTGACGTCGTTGCGTGACAAAAATTGCGTCATTTTGTTCTGGTAGTAGCGTCGTCTATTCCTTCTCAAATCAAAGCCCAGGGCAAACTTTTTCTCACAGGAGCAAAGTATTAGGTGATACATCAGAAGCTAGTGGGAATGTTTGTTTATGCAGAAAAGTGCTCGAGCAGCAATTTTGTCATTTCACTTCCAACTACTCTATTCCAGAAGCCAGCTGTTGTGCGTGCAAGCTACATGGACAGCTTTGAACATCTGGCCCAAGCAGTCAGAAAATACATTAATCTATGACTCTTCAGGACACAGTTATGAAGATAAGTCAAATGGCCAAAAACTCCTGGATGAAGATTGCACAGACACTGTGCATGGAGGAGTCCGTCTGCCAAAGAGTGTGGAACTCTCTTCGTGACAATTTTATGGCCTAACAGCAGACGCAGGAACCGAGTGGAGACCCTGGTGGAAAGAAAACTGCGCCATGACGTATACAGCAGCGGGAGTGGTTCCACAGGAGATCTGCGCTGTGCGTCTCGTGGACAATAAAAAGCGTGTGCAAAAAGACTGCGAGCCGACCACCCGGCTTCGGATTAAGCATGGAACTAGCTTAATGGTCCAGCAGAGTTTCAGAAGGAGCTCGAGTGTCTGGAACAAGAAGTATTTATGAAATGATCACAGAAAACATTTCAGCATTTGCATTGTTTTACCTTCACCTTTTGAAATTAAGCCTTGTTGCAAGTTTTGGTGTTTTAAATCAAGGTTCAAAGACCAGAACGTAAAGAATTTAAAATAACTTCAAAAAGCTCCTATTAGCATCGAAAAAGGCATGATCTAACTACCAATACCTACCATCACGTTTGCTCATTAAATGTTTATGTTTTCCAGACACCAGTTTGCTCAGCTGACCCTTTGACCCACCTTCTCTGTTCTTCCCCGGTGAAGGAGGCAGGCTTGCTGGACTGGCTGTTGGGTTGGGCTTGGTGTTGTGGACCCTGCTTTGCTTGAGACTCTGAGTGAGAAGCACCTAATCAAAAAAAAAAAGAGATGACTTTAAAATTTTTATATTTACAAGCAAAAAGAAATGAACATTTATGGACTTAGAGAATTGCTGTTGATATAACTGTGAATAAAGTTTACTGTTACAGTAAAGTTTAATGTTGTTACACATCTATTAAGATTCAGATTAATAAGTTAGATAAAGTTAAAAAAAATCAAGTTTTTATTCATTTGACTGTCAACAGACTCACTAAGAATATTCAAGTTACAATCAAAACTTTTAGTTTAGAAAACTAGAGCTAAAAATCATACCTTTGTCTTTCTGATGGCCTGAGGTCGAAGAGGATGAGGACTCTGGAGCGATGTTGGCTACTCCTCTCATCCTCTGAAGAACATCTTCTGACAACTGACAGCAGAATAAATAGCTATTTAACACAAACTGTTAGAAATACCAGCATATAATTAGAACAAGAAGTTGTGGATGTTGTTTTCCAGTTTAAAATTAGGCACACCACACATCACTTAATGTGATGTAACATTTAAATGCACATATCTTTTTTATTTTGTCCTTTGGAGCAATTTGGGACACTTTTATCTTTAAGCCAAAGGATCACTGCAACGTTGCTTTTGATGTTTGTGTATGTAAGTTTAAGTGAGTGCAGGTATGTGTGTGTTTTTGGTGTCCAAGGAAACTGTCAAACATAGCTTGATCTAAAACCACAGAGGGCGGCTGCGGCACCATCCATGACTCACTGTTTCTATGACTCGCAAAATTAGTGTTGTAGAATTCAAACATAATTATTTATAAAACAGTTTATGTTTATTTAGTTATGTGTTTGTTTGTTTTGCTAGATGGCTTGCAATGCCATCCCAATGGCAATTGTTCTAAACTGGTTTGCAGGAGAAAAAGAACTGGCTCTAGTGAGACATTCAGTATCTGTGAGCAATTGGAAATTATAAGCTAAAATCGTTCATGTTTTGTATTTTTAGTCATATCTGGCAATGGTTTTAGGTGTCTTTCCCAGAGCATAGCTCTCGTTCTCCAAGTCACGCATATTCATGTTCTTTGACATATTATCATTTATTTACCACTTCAATAGTAGGTCACTGCACAGATTTCCGACATCTACACGAGTCCCCAAACGCAACACTGTCGTAGTAGACAGCAACACTAGAGCATCCTTAACAGTTTAAGATTAAGATATGTTGCAAACATTTAGAACAGCTATTTTTTTGTTTGTTGTTGTTGTATTTCATGCCAAACGTGCAACTAAAATATGTCCACGATGCAGCTGCTAATTCTTGAGCTTGTCTAGTTGCAACCAAACACGATATTTGGTTTTATAAAAAATTACAACGATCTACAGGTACTAAGTGAACAACATTTAAGCCGAATTTACCAGAAAATGTCAAAGGTTTTACTGTTTAAATGAGCATCAACTACATATATCAGTTTGCGAATAATCAAGATATAATGTTGTGGACAGCTTATTATGGCTGAAGTTTGGCGTAACGAAAATTCCACTTTAAACCTACGAAATAAACATACTTTGGCATATGAGTGCTCCTTTATGATCTTTGCTACAACAGTTTATGTACGGGTGGTACACTTAACGTTATTTAAACTTAGAATAGCTGTTGAAATAATTGTTGAAGAGCAAGCAACAGCTAGCTAGTTAGCGCTGGGCGCAGGGTTAAAAGTAACGCTAGCATGTGTCAAACGTTAGCTAAAATTAGCTTTACCTTCACCCCACGAAGAATCCTGACTCTGTCCTCGTCGTCGACTCCGAACGATACTTTTCTAGTTGTACTTTCTCCCGAACCCATCCTGTGTGGCTTTTAGGTTATATATTTGTATGCAGAATGACAGAATTACCATGCAACACTGTTTATGTCCTGCCCAATGACAGGAGTGGCAGATGGGATATGGGTTGCCAGATCTGTCTGAAATCAGGCCACTTTTACTATTTTGTGTTAAGAAAAATGCGTGGTTTCACATGTTTGGATTAGTAAATTGGAGCTACACGTTTGAAGTTTTGTCAAACTGTTCATTTTCATGAGTCTCAAAGTTTCATTTAAGTAAGAGAAAACGTTTGAATCACTTTGCTTTTTATAGGTTTAAACTAAAACCTGGCAGCCCCGTTTTACAATAAATGCATATAAATGAATGAACGGCCAGTATAAGCTTACAAATACAGTAGTAAACAAATATACATGCATTACCATCATAATAGATAGATAGATAGATAGATAGATAGATAGATAGATAGATAGATAGATAGATAGATAGATAGATAGATAGATAGATAGATAGATAGATAGATAGATAGATAGATAGATAGATAGATAGATAGATAGATAGATAGATAGATAGATAGATAGATAGATAGATAGATAGATAGATAGATAGATAGATAGATAGATAGATAGATAGATAGATAGATAGATAGATAGATA